ACAGAAAGGGGAGTGACTGAATCCCTAGAATCTGTTTCCTCCAAATATTCAAGAGAGCTGTTTACTTAAGAGTAATAGACATGTGGAAAAGGAAACAGGCCTTTTTATTCTGACCAGGCACTTGATGACTCTTAAATGTGGGTAAGTGATTGATTCTAAAATGGGAAGCTAAGCCCTTGACTCTTAAATGAGACCTTTTTTTCCTGAATCTCTGTATATTTCACCCTATATCCAAGGGTAGTATCTTAAACCAGTGCTGTTTAGAAAGAGCCAATCTGGACAGTGTCAGAGGACAAGAGGACACTTCAGCATGTTTTCTCTTGTGCTTAAGCTGCTTTATCAGGGTAGAATCCTGGGCTCATCTACCCTCCAGGAGGGGTAACAAAAATGATAGCCAGATCTCTTTCCACTCTGGCCATCTTATCCATAGAACAAGAGATCTAAGGAGGTGGGGAAATGCCCCACATGCATGCATGCAGGAATTGTCAAGAGAAAGGCCTAGACCTCTTCTGAAAAGGCTGGCTCTTGGAAAATCTGCAGAAGGCCATAAAGGAGCCATTGTACACTATGGCAGAAGAACTGGGCCAAAGGAGTAATCCTTCATTTGATTAATGAGTAAATGAGGCCTACTGATGTAAAGTTATTTGTCTCCATGATATACATGGTCAATCTAGGACCAGAACCAGTCTTCTTGCTTTGCTGGCTGGTATTTTTCCTAGTATAGCACACTCATTTTGTCTCTGTCCAGTGGCCATGGTGAACTCTGGATTCCGACTTGGACTTCCAGTCTTAGTTCCAACACCAACAAGCTGTAAGATGTCGGGCAAGTTTCTTAACCCCTTTGTGCCCCAGTTTCCTCATATATCAAATGGGAATAATGATAGAGCCTACTTTCTCAGGACTTTGTGTTATATAATAGACTGAGAAAACAGGTAAAGTCTTAAAACAGTGCCAGGCATATCGTAGGAACTCAGTAGAGGTTGGCTATGTAATTTTTTTAAAAAAGGAACTTAGATTTTTTTGTATTCAAGATTTTGATTCCATTTGTTATTTATGAAGTGGCATAGTTGAAAATATGAGAACTAAAATTTAAATTAATTCTACTTTTTAAATTCAGATTGAATAAGATATAGCTGTGTTGGTAGTACAGTCAACTTATATGTTTTGATTGTGAATATTTTATCCTTTGGACTATACTTCATGTGTAGTAAAGACCTCTTTTAAAGCAAAGTTTTTCCAGAATAAAATGCATGCTACATGAAGATTGCTCTACCAGAGTTTCATATAATGTTTTATGGGACAGATAAGGATTTATTATCATAAGAGAATAATTAAAGGATGTTATTTTGTGAAGACTACTGAGTAATATTAAAATAGTACTTTATGTACTCCTTGCCCTGGTGCCCCATTGAATGCCTGCCTTTTCATAAGGTAACTACCCTTGCCCTGTGGCCCCAACTTAATTCATGCTAAAGTGTTAATGCATATTGAGTCCAGATACAGAATATTGGATCTGATTAGCTAGTTGTATGCAGTTGGTTTAGATGTTGACTGATTTTGCCTTTGACAAATTTAAATAAATAAAATTGATGTTGCAGGATTTATTTTACACTGTTGCATTGTGCAGTGGCTAGTGTTGAAACACAATAGCTTTTACATTGAACTGCTTACAGAGTGATCTATAAAATCTTCCTAGATGTCTTTCTGTAACTGCTGTGATCAGCTAGGAATCATATGTTTTTGCAGGCAAGTTAATGGGTTAAAAGACGATGGAAACTGCCTTCTTGTAGAAGGTTTAAAAAGTGCACTTAAAACCACTTGATCAGGGGCACCTGGGTGGCTCAGTCGTTAAGCGTCTGCCTTCGGCTCAGGTCATGATCCCAGGGTCCTGGGATCGAGCCCCGCATTGGGCTCCCTGCTCTGTGGGAAGCCTGCTTCTCCCTCTCCCACTCCCCCTGCTTGTGTTCCCTCTCTCGCTGTGTCTCTCTGTCAAATAAATAAATAAAATCTTAAAAAAAAAAAAAACCACACTTGATCAGGGCATTTAGAATAAAGAATCAGTCATTTACAATTCAGCTTGTCTTTGAAAATATTGAAAAGCAGAGTTTCATAATAAAAGTATGTCTTATACATATGTATGTTATTTGTATATGTGTATTATTAGTTTGGTTTTAGTTCAGTGGTCCTCTTTATTCTGTGATTGAAAAGACCATGGAGAACAAAAAGTGACTAATTTTCTGATTTGCTCTTTTTTCATTTGCTTTAAATCTTTGAAAGAGTGAAACTATGAATCATAGTATCAGTAGTGTACAAATGGGAGTCTTGTAACTTAATTGGGAAAGAAAGGTAGGGCTGGAATCTGAAAATCTTGATTCTGGTTGCAGCCAAACACAAAAACACTGGGTTTGTTGGTTTCCTAAGCTTTTTAATAAATTGCCATCATCAAGAATTTGGTATAAATACATTTTATATTGATATTATTTCTTGTGGAGAAGTTTTCTGAAGTTTTTTATATGTTTACTTGGAAATTTTATTACCTCAGTTCTAGAATCTCTGAATATCACCCTATTCTCCACCACCACCATCTTGAGATTTTCATTGTGAGCATTAGAATTTATTGATTTTCATTTTTTCTCAAAGAGTTGTATTTTAAATGTATGCATTGTGAATGTTTAGAGTGTTTAAATATTGTTATTTTAATCTTAGTGTATTAATGAGTAGGAATATAAACAATAATCAATCTCTTAAAACTTTTTGAGATTGTCTTCTTAATTGCAAAAAAGAATTATAACTCTGTTACCAGAAGAAAATTACTTTAAAGTAGGATCATACGTTGGAATATGTCCTAGAATTCTAAATTTTATACCAGTAGTATATAATAAAATATTTAAGAAAAGTAAATCTAGCATAATCAAAATCTGAAGTTGTGCATATATTCTTATTTAGAGGTACCTTTCATGAAGGCAGGCAACTTGAATTGCTTCATACTAGAAAATTTAATGTACCACTCAATTACTATTCTTTAGCCCAGTTTAAAATAATAGATTGGGAGTAAGGTTTTAATGCAGTGTAACCTTTGGAACATTAGAAATAACCTCTTTCTTTCCACAGTGTACAGTAAGGATATCAGTTTTATCATACTTCATGTATATACTTATAATAACATTATTATACAATTATTTATACTTACTAAACTTATTACGTGAATACAGTGATTTCTTTTACTAAACTTACTCTAATATTAATTTAAAGATAATGCTATTGTCATAATATTTGAAAATATATACTTTGATTTTAAATCTTTCAGATGACCTCATTTTGCTTCTGGTGAAACACCCAACTTAGGAGTGTCTTAATAATTTTATACTATTTCATAAGATGGGTGTTGTGAAAGAATTTGAGGTGGTGGATATTGTGATAAAATTTTAGCTGTGCAGAGGTCCTTATTCTCACTTTCTTCTTTAACAGTTATGCCCTGCCTGTACAGCTGTGAAACAGTAGTGAAAATATTAGGACTTTATCTGAGGAATTGGAAAGGATTTCATAAAAAGACTATTATCTCTTCTTGTGATGCTGCCTCTTAGTGATAGTCATTGGCTTTTTCATTTATTATACAAAGCAGATTTTATATAGTAGGTGAAAATGTTCACAAAAACTAATTTACATACCCCTTCAAATCTCTTTTGGAGTAAGAGAGGATACAAATAAATAGTAATAAAACTAATTTGCATACTCTAAAATGTTGGTCTTAATGGTGCTGATGGAAGGTTTCCAATTTGTAGCAAAGCAATTTTTAAAAAAACAAATTATATTGAAATGTACTTTATTAAAAAAATATAATGCCAAAATAGAGTATTGGACGGATTTATCTTATCCCTATTTCTTTTGTTGATGACCAAATAATAGACCAGGATTCATGATTTTGTAAGTAGACTTTGATGATCTTGTCAGTTTTATACATCCCCAGTACTGTAGATGCAAATATATAGAGGACAGTAAGAGTTTTAATTTGGAATCATAGTCTTTAATGAATCTATTCCTTTTTTTCTGTTATCCAGGGAATTCTCAAAACATGGTTTGCAGACCTCCCATCTTAGAAATCATCTGTGATGCTTCATAAAATGTAAATTCCTGGGCCCCACGACAGAGCTACTGTCTTGGACCTGATACCAAAACCCTGTAGGTTTAGTAAGAATTCTAGATGATTTCTATGGGCATTGAGGTTTATTAACCAGAGCCCTAGAGCAGAAGTCAGCAAACCTTTTCTGAAATTGCTAGATAGTGAATATTTTCAGCTTTATGGTCTTTGATGCAACAATAGTTGGCACCTGAACAGTGTAGGGGTTAGGGGTGCCAACCCCCTCCCTCCTACAGTCAGAAATCCAAGTTTAACTTTGACTCCCCAAAAACTTAACTGCTGATAGCCTACTGTTGACCAGAAGCCTTACCAATAACATAAACAGTTGATTAACACATACTTTGTATGTTGCATGTATTACATACTGAGTTCTTACAATAAGCTAGAGAATAGAAAATGTTATTATGAAAATCATAAGGAAGAGAAAATAGGTTTACAGTATTATACTGTATTTATTGAAAAAAATCCAAAATAAAGACCCACTGCAGTTCAAACCTGTATTGTTCAAGGGTCGACTGTAACTACCTCTGCTATTGTAGGGCAAAAGCAGCACCAGTAATGCATAAACAAATGTGAATGGACTTGCACATCTATGACAGAATCAAGATTCTAGACAAATGGTTTTTTCTCTATGAATCTTTTCTAAGGCGCATTATCTCTGAAATCAGTTTTAATTATAGTTCCTGGGTGTTTATTTTTTGATAACTAAAGAAAATCCGTAACTAAAAGTACACTTCCTGGATATACATGTTACATGAATGGATATAAAACCTTTATTATATTTAGAGCCTTTTCTATGTTATCATCAAGGAGAGAGTGTGATTATCTTATTTGTAACTATATAATCTGCTTCTAATATTAGGTTCCTGTGGCTAGAGCAAGTATTCTTTGGCTAATTGGAGAAAACTGTGAACGAGTTCCTAAAATAGCCCCTGATGTTTTGAGGAAGATGGCTAAAAGTTTCACTAGTGAAGATGATCTGGTAAAACTGCAGATTTTAAATCTGGGAGCAAAATTGTATTTAACCAACTCCAAACAGGTAAGAATCTAAACCTTAGTCTACCTATATGACACCTGCTTTCCTCTTTATTCTGATGAAGCAGCTAAAGTCTATTCATGCATTAGTCTGTCCACTCAACAATCACTAGGTGTCTGTTTCCTTAAGGTTCTATATTAGAAGGTAGTGGTGCAGAGAAATGACATTCTGGTCTAGGAGGGGAGAAAAACATAACAATGAAATAGTATGCGGTAACCGCTGTAATAGAAGTATTAAGATACAGTGGAACTTCAGAGGAGAAAGTTATTGAAAGTCTGAAGTAGGACGAGGTGAGAGATGAAAGTTTTGTAAAGGATAAGACTTTTTTTTTAAAGAGATTTTATTTATTTATTTGAGAGAGAGCAAGCAGCGAGCGAGCGTGGGGGAGTGGGGGGGCAGAGGGAGAGGGAGAGGGAGGCTTCCCGCTGAGCAGGGAGTCTGAGGTGGGGCTCAATCCCAGGACCCTGGGATCACGACCTGAGCAGAGCTCAGGCAGAGCTTAACCGACTGAGCCACCCAGCGCCCCTAGAATAGGAAAAAAGGAGAGCAGTGAGAGTCATGAAACAGCTATGTTTGTTGTGAGTTTCTTGTTTATTGATAAAAACAGCATGTTAGCCTGACACTGTAAATCCATGTAGTATTGTGAAAGTCATTATAACACCTAGAATTGGGTACTCTAAATGTATTTAGCTTCTAGGTTATTATAAAATTAATACAAAATTAGAATGTTAATTCAGACCAAAAGTAGTTAGTCTTACACAACTAAATGAAAGTTCTGTTTGTTTTTGGCCCTCTTTGTAGCTATAAAGAAACAATAATGGAAAATAGTACTTTTCATTCAGAAATTGTGGAATGTATTCCATATCTTTTGAATATGAAGACAACATAGCTTGCACTCAGACATTTTTTTCTTGAGTTGTATTATTAAATGAAGTTTTGGAGCTCAACTTCTGAAGTGTTCTATTGTATATTTTAGAATGATACTTCTAGATAACCACAAATTGACTTCACCACCAACTGGTAAAAGCATAATGATGTTTAGAAAATATACCAAGTTTTCATATGCATTTTTATGTAACTCATTGTTTTTTAAATGCTTAAATATAAAAATAGGTGAGTGGCAGTGTCTATAGGGTTGTGCTCTGTTCTCCAGTTTCTCCTTTCTCAAGAAAAGGGGTTTTGAAAGAATTGGTAAAATAAGCATTAAAGAGTAATTTTTATCACCATCAACTTGACAGCGTTTTTAAGTTGTATGGCTCGTATCTGGATATGAGACAGAGACATAAATGATTTACTTGACCTAAATGTAAAAAATTGTTTTCTGTGCTTATTTACTTCAGCTATCTTTAAAACTGGATTAAGGAGACCAAGCCACAGTGCTCAGGGCTGGTTTGCCATGAAGTCCTGATACTTATTTGTAGATCTGAATTCCCTATGGTTTAGATACCTCAGTGAGCATTCCAGAATTGTTAATGAATTATTTAGTTATTGGGACCTGAGATCTAAATTAATTTTTATAAGATTTAGCACATTGTGCTCATTTGTTTTCTTGAGGAATAATTGAGTAATGAACTTCTTTAATACCTCAAAATATTTTTACCTGATATGAAAACTAATTTAAAAATAAGTCAACAGTCTGCTTTCAGTATATAGAGTTGGTTCCTGCTGAACTGACCCTCCCATAGAGAACAGCTATAAACTTTGGAAAAAATAAATAATAACTGTCCAAAGTCTCAGAAGAGTAAAGAAAAGCAGGAAGAGTCTGGAGGGGAATTAACACTTGGAAGAAGGGAGTGGTACAGAGTAAGTTTCCCCACTTTTATGGCTTTTATCCAGAGGACAGGCTACAATTGGCACTCTGCACAGGGCCTAAAACTCCAAAAGGAAACCTAAGGTCCTTCTGGCCTGAAGAAGTAGAGAACACAGTTCAGGAAAATGATAGATACTAGAAAATTAGGGAAGAATTCCATAAGGGAATGAGCCATATCGTGGAGCCTCAAGATCTGTGAATAACTCTGCTCCGGTCTCTGGCCGACCTTGAACCACACATGGTCAAGGTGGATTCAGAGCAGCACAGCTTAGAATAAAGATCTGAACTGAAATTTGAGCTGCACCAAAGAGACAAAGTTTGCACTTTGAACTCAACCATGTTAATTGTGTGCTAAAATAAATAAATAAAAATCAGTACTCTCAGGGCACCTGGGTGGCTCTGTCAGTTAAACATCAGACTCTCCATTTTGGCTCAGGTCATAATATGAGTCTCCTTTGATTGAGCCCCACATAGGGCTCTGCACTCAGCAGAGAGTCTGCTTGAGATTCTCTCCCCTGCCCCCACTTGCTCTCTTATGTGCGCTCTCTCTCAAATAAATCAGTCAATCTTAAAAAAAAAAATCAATACTCAAAGAGTGTGATGATGTCCAAGGCCTCTAAAATATAACATTCATAATGTCCAAAATACAATCCAAAATTATTCTATATAAGGAGAACCATAATGGGAAGTTATTGTTTAAAGGATATGGAGTTTCAATTTATGAATATATAAAAATTTTTGGAGATGGATGATGGTATTGGCTGTACAACACTGTGCTTGAACTGCATACCTAAAAATGGTTAAGATGGCAAATGTTACGTGTTTTATCTCACACACACACACACACACACAAACAAAACACCAGGAAAATACCAGTTTTCAAGAAAATTGAAAGAACCAACAGAAACCAACTCTGAGGCGATCCAGATGTTGGAATTTGCGAATAAACACTTTGAAGCAGCTTTTTATAACTGGAGCCAGCAAATATAAAGGAAAATATTCTCACAATGGACAAAAAGATAAGAATTGTCGGTGGAGAAGTAGAAATTGTAAAAAAGAATCAAATGGAAGTATTCTAGAACTGAAAAATATAGTACCTAAAAAAAAAATCAACATCTTGTTTATCATTTGTATTATATATTCTTCAACATTTTAATATTTTTCTTTTTGGATATGCATATATAAAGCTGCTTCATACAGTTTTTTTTTAAAAAACATGGTTAATACTCTTTAGGTGGACCATTTCAATGAGCTTTAATTTTCTAACTTGGTTATTTCAGATGGAAATTTGTATTTGGAAAGCAATTTAACTGTGTGTGATGACTATCTTAAAACTATTTGGTGTCAGTTACTGGAGGGAAGGTAGTGATTGAGAGTACTACAGGCTCTCGTATTAGACTGTCTGGCTGCAAATCCTGTTTTACCATTTACTAGGTACATGATTTTGGACAAATTATATAACCTATCTAAGACTTATTTTTCTTATCTGTAAGTTGGGAATTATAATAAATAGTTCTTTATAATGCAGTATAAATGTTCTTAAAAATCATCATGCTTTACAAAATTGCACAATACTAGAGGGACAACACTCAAAAACTTCACTGATGATAAATTAAAAAGAACCTAATAAAAACAGGAGCACAGTTTTACACATGTTAAATGGTTAAGAAATATATAAATAATACAGTGAATATAGCTCTTTCCCTTGGAAAAGACCTGACGTGGAAATGGGTGTTGAAAAGGCTGTATTTGTTAGTTACATAGTGGAAGAAGGATTAATCTGAAATTGGATGGAAAGTTGTACCACTGATAACACATGTAGTGATCTGAGGTAGATGTTTGAGGTTGGTATGTTTTGTAATTCCTACAAAGCCCAGTTCAGCTGGTAGCCATTTTCTGCCTTCATCTAGTATTGCAGACAAAATTATGCCCAAGCAAACACAAAATTCATATTATGCAACTGAATTGGAACAAATGCACATTTTCAGAATAATTGCTAGAGCACAAGTACCGTATCTACCTCACAAAATTATTATAAAGATCAAAGGAGACAATCCATGTAAAGTGTTAGGATTTCCTGGATCATAATAATGCCTATTCCGTGTTAGTTATTATGCTCTTTTTGTACCCCTAGCTTACACTGCTAACCAGCTGCTGGATTATTCTTAGAGAATATCATTGTTTATAGTAAGGGAATTAGTCCCATTAGTGAGAATTTATTCTCATTAGGAAGAACACTCCATTTTGGTTTACCCTACTGAGAAAAGGGTGCTGAAAATCCCTCCTTTTATGAAGAAAAACATGGTTAGATATGATTATCAAGAGTAGAAAATGCTATTACAATACTCATACAAAGAGTAATTTCACTGTTATACAGGGGAGACGCTGAAGGACTTTGAAATCAGTTGAAGTTGCTGAAGCTCTACAGCTCTTAAGACAGTGTAAAGGTTGAGCATGACTTCCTTGAAATAGTCTACTGAGGTCTGAGACAGAAAACTAGGAGTTGATTAAACTGGTTAATAGTGGCTGTAAATTAATAATGGGTGCATTTGTTTTTAAACTTCCTGTAATCTTTTAAATGTAGTGATGAGTAATATATGTTAGTGTTTTGCTTAGCTCATGTTTTTCTTTTTAATTATGAAATAATGCGAACCTATAGAAAAGTGCAAAATAGTATGAATAGATATATAACTACCACTAAGGTTAAGTCAGTGTTTTTGCCATAATTGTTTTTTTTTAAGGGAGTGTAATAATAAAAGTAAAACCTCGAGTTCCTGTTCATACCTTATTTTCCTCCCCATTGGTAGCTACTGTCATATTGGTGGTGTGCTTTGGTCATGGGTGGTTTTACGTGCTTACTACATGAGTATATGTCTGTAAAGTACGTCACTGGTTTGTGGGTTTTGGTATTTTGCTTGCATACTCTTGTAACCTACTTTTTTCACTTAATACCATGTTTTTAAAATATTGACATGTATAAATATAATTTCATTTATTTTAAGTAACTATCTCATTTTCTGTGAGACAGGTTTCTACTTTTCTGCTACTAGAAAAGAGAGTGATTCATTGAGTATCCTTAATACTTGTATTTTCTTTGTATTGCTTTTTGGACTTTTTGGTTCTTAGTAAGAAATTTTATAAATCACAGTTATATTTTGGAGATCCTTCCTGAAGTTATAAACAAATTCTCTCT